GGGACAGATGACCAGGGCCCCTGGCCTGGGTGAGGGGGGACAGATGAGCGGGGCCTCTGGCCTTGGTGAGGGGACAGATGACCGGGGCCCCTGGCCTGGGTGAGGGGGGACAGATGACCGGGGCCCCTGGCCTGGACGAGGGAGGACATATAGCCGCGGCCCCTGGCCTGGGTGAGGGGAGCTGAAGGAAGATGGGCTTCCGTCCGAGGCTCCTGAGGGAGAGCGTGAGGAGAGGCTCGATCCCAGAGAACTGCTTATCCGGATTCTGACTTCCCTGCAGAGGAGAGCTGCGTGCTTGCCGCCAGAGGATAGAGCTCATCGCCAAGCAGCAGGCGAGCGTGGCGGCCGAGGTGGCTGCAGGGAGAGAGGCCAACAACACGTAGGTCGTGCGCCCCGGGCGCCGAGCGGGGCGGGTGGCGGGGGCCCCCAGTGCCGCAGCAGAAGGCGTCCGGTCACCCGACTGGTCATCTGTACTAACACCTGCTGCCTTCAGGTGCACGAGGAAGCAGACTGGCCACCCTCCAGGGTGGGGAATGGACGCACCCCGATACGGAAAGAGACAGGTGGTCACAAGGACAAGAGAGCTGGTGGCCGTGAGGTCAGGAGAGGTGGTCACTTTGAGGCAGGTGGCCAGGGAGGCTTCCTGAGGAGTTGCCTCCAGGCCGGAACCTGAGTGAGAAAAACAACTTGCCTGCAGTGACTAGGAAGGAACATTCTGGGGTGAGGAGGTGCAAAGCCCTAGAAGTGCCCAAAAAGAGAGGCCACTCTGTGGGGACAGGGCAGGGACACCAATGAGCTTAGGGGAAGAAACATCAGGACTGGCTTTGTCTCGATCGACCAGCCAGGTAGTGCCACTACCCAGATGAGGGGACAGGACAGGCAGGGGGTCAGAGGCCTGCGCGGCTACCTCACGCGGACACATCTGCTTGGAGCTCCCCGCGCCCGGGGCTGGTGTCCACAGGTGAGCCAGGTGGCGTCCATGCACTTCAGGCCCTATCGGTCTCACAGCAGCCCTTTGAGGGACTCAGGGACACTAAGTGAGCTGCCCGGGGTCACCCTGCTGAGCGGGGACACGGTGGGACGTTGGTCCTGGCGCTCTGAGCCAGAATCTGAATGTAGCTGCCCCACTTACTGCCAGGAAGGGACGAGCGCCAGGCCCCACTGGCCCCAGGAGGGTAGAGGGCCTCGTGGCGGCTGGAGGCTGGAGTCCTGGGGGTCACAGACCCAGGACAAGGTGCCAGACAGTTCACCCAGCAGCAGCGTCGTGAGGCCTGCAGCCCAGCCCCCTGCAGGCAGAGACAGGCTCTTTTGTAGGACTTTAAAATCCACCTGGTTCTATGGGACACAGCAGGCTGGATGTTGAGAAATGAAGGCCACACCAGCTGCCGGAAACCCACTCCCCAGCCGTACACGTGTGGGGTCCTGATCGGTGGTATGCACACACCGGTCCTGAGGTCTTTGTCACCCAAGGCTATTTCCACACAGCCCCACTGGCCACCCTGTGATCATCTGTGATTATCTCAGAACATGCCTGAGCGGTCGGGTGCCTGGGCGGTGCACTGAGCCGGCCACAGCCCAGGACAGAAGAGGGTGCAGAGTGGACTCCCTACCTAGAGTCTCCCAGGGGCCTTTTGGCCGCCTGACTGCTTCCAGTCGGGCGAGTGTGCAGGATCCTTCCCTGATCGGAATGGGCCCGCAACTCGGACAGGCTGGAACCAGGGGATCCGGCTCCCTGACCCCGGGAGGGAAGTGGGCACTGGTGTGGCCAGGGCAGGCGCTCTAGCGGGTTCTGTGCCTGGCCAAGCAGCCAGAAGTAGGCACAGGGGCAGCTTTTCTTGAAGGCCTTCCCCGCTGGCCGGTGTAGACAGATTTCTCTCTTGAAAATGAAGAGGCCAGCTGAAGGCCTCAGTGGGATAGTGGCCACCGGGGGGCTTTCTCTGGGGGCCAGGCTGACGCCACCTCCCCGCCCCCCCGCTCCCCTGCCCCCCTGCCCCTCTGCCCCCCGTGCCTCAGCAGCGCCTCCGTGGGCCGCCTCCAGGCGGTGTCCAGACGCCTGTGCACAGAGCTGGACGACGAGAGAGCCCTGCAGTCCCAGCTCAGAGCCGCGTTGCTGAAGAGCGAGTGAGTTGGGGGGGGAGGGGGGCTCCCTGCGCACAGGCAGGACGCGGCCCGCGTAGTTTGCGCGTGACTTTTAAGCTGCCTAAGAGCGGGAAGGGAGCCCGTTAAATGAAATCATTGAAAGGATAAGACTTCACGTTTTTTGAAATGTTTCCCACTTTCCCCATGTTTGTTTGCATTTCTGAGAACTATGACACCTGCTTCTTTTCCTTTCCCCTCTTTCCTGCTTCCTGCTTCCGGAGAACCACCAGCACCGTGTTTAAACAGCGTTTCGTCGTTTCACAACCTTTCTAGAAGCAACCCCCAGCAAAGACACTGGTGCTTGGGTTTGGGTCGTAAACAGCAGCATTGCCTCTAGCTAGCTGCCGCAAGAAAGGGGGTTTAGGAGGGGATCAGATTCCTGGTGTCCCTCGTGCCCTGCTTCCCCCCCCCCCCAGCGGCCCCCTCCCCCAGACGCTGGCCGGGCAGCCTCTGGGAAACATGCAGGAAGGCACGGAGGGCCAGGACAGGGCATTGGCGGCAGGCCACCCGCTGCTGGAAAAGCCACAGCTGTCCCCTGCCCCTCCCGACCACAGGAATCCGTCTCTAACCCAGCCCTCCTTTAAGTTAGGCACAGTCCAGCCCTGGGTCCTGTGGTGCTTTAGCATAATCTAGTGGGGAGGCGGGAGGACAGAGAGGTGGCCGGGATGGTAGGGCCATCTGTGAGTGAGCACAGGAGGACGATGGACGTTTATGTGGCCCTTGTTTGACGGCGCAAAACACCCCGAGCCCCCTTGGCCCCAGCCGTCCTAGTGACATCCTTTACGGCAAGAGGGTCCCACTTGGGGGTTGCAGGGGGTTATCCCGTCTCCAGCCAGGAAGACCCTTCACCCTTCCATGACACTCATGGCCTCCACACTTTGAAGATTATGGGCCAGTGAAGGCCCCTTAAGTTGTCTTTGCGTGATGCTTCCTTGTGACTGTTGGCTGGAATACCCCCGAGTGATGCCATGTCCTTCTGGGGGGGCCTCTCAACGAGGCGCATGATGGCGACCGGTCCCGTTTCCGGTGGGGGGGACTTTGGTGGCTGGGTCGAGGTGGTGCCCGCCGGGGTTCTCCACGCAACGCGACACCTTTGGAAACGAATCCGTAACGTGTGGTGGACACTCAGAGACTCTGGGATCCTGTCCTCGCCCCCTTGCGGGCGCTGGTGTCTGAATTCAGTGGTGTTTCTTGCCTGCACCAATCATGATGGCGATGGCGATGATGGCCCCCAAAGACGCTCTAAGTCCGCACTCCTTCCGCGGCGCGGGCCGGCCTTCTGGTGTGAAGAACAGCGTGTCTTCTCCACATCCATTTGCTTATCGGCGTAGACTCTGATTTCTGTTTTAGTCAGCGGCATACGGTCACTTCCGTCATTATTTGCCTTGACCCTCCGGTCCTCCCAAGTTGGCTCCTAGGCCCTTTGACACGTCCCTGTCCCTGTCACTCTTGGAGTGCTCTCGGGCACCAGGACACGTTCCACGCCCCCCGATTCATCCTCCCGCCCCAGCTCTGGACTCAGCCTGGTTTGTAACTGAGGAGTGGGGTTTGGAGGGCTAGAGCTGGGCGCCGCTGATGCCCGTGGCCGCGAGGACCTTGCTGCTCCCAGGCCCTAGCAGCAGGCGGGGACAGCAAACCCGTGCACGTCTGTGTGTGTCCCTGTCTTGAAACCAGTTCCAACAGAACTGCAGGCTCGTCCCCACCCTCCCCCGCCGTGTCTGCACCTCCTTCCTGTGGCAGTGACCAGCCTGCCGGTCGCTACCCTCAACGTTTTCACTGGTTTCCCCGGTCCCCACGTGTAGCCAGTCTGCCGACCCTTCCAGCGATCGCCCTGGGACCCTCCTCCTGCGGCCTGACCCCAGCAGCCTGCCCGCCGGCCGCTGCTCACGTGGGCCTGGCTGCTGCCGGACTGTCATTTGCTGCCTTGTTAATCAGCTTTCCCTGAGTCTAATTTACACACGAGAAAATGTATCCCAGACGTTCCCTTGTGCCTCTCCTCAGTCAGCAGTCCTGCCCCAGGGGACCACTGGGGACCGCTGACACACTCTGTCCCTTCCTATTAAATGTGTTCAGTGTGCCGGGGCACCTGGTGGCTCAGTTGGTGGAGTGACTGACTTAATTTCTGCTCAGGTCATGATCTCATGGTTCGTGAGTCTGAGCCCCGCATCGGGCTCTGCATTGACAGCGTGGAGCCTGCTGGGGATTCTCTCTCTGCCCCTGTCCTGCTTGCGCTCTGTCTCTCTCTCAAAAATAAATAAACATTTTAAAAACATGTTTTAAATGTGCAGAACCATACCTGTTTACCCGGCGCCTGGTTTCTCCAGTCCACACAACGGCTCCCAGTTGCATCTGTGGTCTTGTGTGGAGCGGAAGTCCGGGCGCATCCGAGTTTTTTGTAATTATCTTAGACAGAGAGCAAGCAGGAGAGGGGGGCAGAGGGAGAGAGAGTATCTTTGGCGGGCTCCATACTCAACACAGAGCCCGACATGGACCTCGACCCCCGCAGCCCTGAGATGACCTGAGCCACCCAGGCGCCCCCACATCCACATTTTTACATAGCAGGAGTCCAGGCGCGTCTGCGGGTTTTTTTTTTTTAATGTTTTTATTTATTTTTGAGAGAGAGAGACAGAGTGTGAATGGGTGAGGCGCAGAGACAGAGGGAGACACAGAATCCAAAGCGGGCTCCAGGCTTCGAGCTGTCAGCACAGAGCCCGACGTGGGGCTCGAGCTCACGGACTATGAGATCGTGACCTGAGCTGAAGTCGGACGCTTCACCAACTGAGCCACCCACATGCTCCGCGTCTGCGTTTTTATGTAGCGGGAGTCCCAGGTGCATCCAGGGTTTAACACGACAAGCATTATTACCTCCCCATCCCTGGATGGCCGGGAACCTAGGAGCAGCGTAGCTGGGGTTCTGGCTCGAGATCTCCCGGGAGGTTACGGTTGAGATGTCAGTCAAGACGGCATCGTGTGGAGGTTCGCTGGGTTGGACGGAGGATCAGCTTCCAAGCTCGCTCAGATCAACCCCCCGCAGGCCTCTCCTGGGGCTGCTGACGAGGGACACTGAGCCCCCAGGGGTGAGCAAAAGCCCCAGTGTCCTCTCGGAAGTGACATCGCATCACCTCTGCCGCATTTGGATCCACCCTGAGACCGGGTGGGCGCGGCCTGCTCAACGGTGTGCGTGCAGGAGGCGGGGTCATGGGCTGTCATCCTGGGGACTGGCCACCTCATACTGAGTCTCACATAAGCCCTTCCCCCAGCAAAACCGGCTGCTGCGCGCGGCGCCTGGCGGGGGGGGGGGGGGGCGGTACACTGAGTGTTCCTCGCGCCTCTGCACTTCCACTGTAAAATGTCATCATGTGGACGTCCTGGCAACGCAAGATGAGCTGAGCGACTCTAGCCCCACAGAGAATCGCAGCAGGTGACAAGAACACGGGTGGAGAAGGAAGCCCTGTGTGCAGAGGAAGTGACCATTCCCAGGAGCACAGATCGCCACGCCCGCCTGGGTCCTGAGGGGCGCGTGTACCAGAGTGGGGCACGGCCTGCTCTCTGCTGCGGGCGGACAGGGCGCTCAGCGGATTGAGGCCAGCGCAGCCCTGGAGCGGGCGGGTCCGCGTGGCTGGCCCATCGGCCTCATCGACAGGAGCCTTCTCTCAAGTGGGGTCCTGACGTCCTCACACACTGGGCCCATCCTGGGAAGTCCCGCCACCAGCCCCTGGGCCACCAGCCACACCACGAGCGCCGCCGCGGGGTCTCCGCGGATCTGTGCCTCCACAAGCGGTGCCCCGGACGCACATTCTTGGGACTCTGCTCTCAGGGATGATGCGCCTTCAGGCCCTCCTGTGTCGCTGCCGACCACACGCTGGGCAGAAGCCCCCGTCAGAGGAGGTGGAGGGGTGGGCAGGCGAGGCGGGCCCCTCCAGGGGGCTCGTGTGCACTGGGGTGCAGGCGGGACGCCTGAATCTGTGGCTCCGTGGCTCAGGTAGTGCCGCTCACTCATTCAACAAACGGTAGTTGAGAACCTGCTGTAGGCCACACTCCGTTCGAAGCATTTAGGGCTCGCCGGTGAATAGAACAAGTGAAAAGCCGTGTCCGGGGAGCCTCTGTCTTCGTGGTAATGGGAGGCAGACGATCAGCCAAACGTGAAGTTCGGGACGGGTGGCCCGTGTCACGCGGTCCCTGCGTCCCTGGACTCGAGCTTCTGTCTCACCTGGGTCCAGCGGCAAGGCCAAAGGCCACGGGCAGCCTCGCACCGCAGGCTCCGTGCAGGGGCCTGGCCACGCCCGGGGCAGGGTGTCTGCCGCAGGGGCCCGGCTGAGAGTCTTTGCTGGCCTTCCTTCCGGCGCTGTGGCAGGCGGCACACGCGGACCTCGCGTCCCCGAAGGTGATGCCCACACAGATCTCACTGGGCTAAAACCAAGGGGCTGGCAGGACTGCCTTCTTTTCTAGGGAGAGCCTCTTTCCAGCCTTGTCCAGCCCCCAGACGTGCCCTCCTTCCTGGGCCCACGCCCCTGCCCCCTCCTCTAGGCCAGCAGCACCTCTGTGCCTCTGATCTTCCTTCCACTGTCACCTTCTCTTTATTCAGAGAAAGTGGGACGTCGGTCAAATCGCCCTCTTTTTCAGGCCTGGGGGCCAGCAATCCATCAGCCACGGTCAGACGTTCCCGCCGCCTGTCCGCGCCCAGACACCCCCCCTGTAGGTCACAAAGGGTGCTCATATGGCAGCAGCCCACTTCCCCTCCGTGTCCTGTGCTGCCCCCCCCCCCCCCCGGCCCTGTCTCTCGCTGCCGTGCCCCTGTGCCACAGGGAGCCTCTTTCAAAGGTGGCATCTCCCACCTGTGTCCCCGGCCTATTTCAGAGTGCCACACCGGTCCTCGGGCCAGCCGGGGACACTCAGGAAGTGCAGATCCACGTTCGAGCCAGGCCGGGGCCCATAGTGCCGTGGGTGAAGCGGGGAGCCTTCCTCTCCCCTGCGGCTGCAGGCCCAGAGGGCTTCCAGGAGGAGGAACCGCCCTTGACTGGTGGTCGTCAGAACTGCGTGGCCAGGCCCTCCCGGACCCCCTGGAACGGACGCTCCTCAGAGGGTGTGGCCTTTGCCGACACAAACAAAAGTGCCTCTTGTTTGAAGGAGCGCCACGTGGCACATTGCGATCCAGAAGGGACAGCTTGAGGATGTCCAAGCGTCTGCCCAAGAGGAGGAAGCAGCTGCCAGGAAGGGCCTCCGGGCGCACGCGGCCGAGCAGCTGCCCCGCGAGGAGGAGGCCCTGAAGAAGGCCGAGAGGACCCGGCTGCTGAGGGTCAGGTGGGTGGCCAGGACCTGCGGGGGCCTCAGCCTTCTCCAGAGCCAGCTCCTCTGTGGCCCCACCTGAGCCCCTGGCCAGGGCCCGCCCAGGGCCTCCTGTTTGGCCAGGCCGCTGAGTAGGGCAGAACAGCACCTGCAGGTGTGTCACAGGCCCACTCCTGCTCCCCAGGTGTGGTCCCCATTTCCTTCCCTCCCAGTCCTTGTCCAGGGTCCTCCCCACCCCTCCCCCTGCTCACTCCATCCGGCCCGTCGCCAGCTTTCCCTGCCGCTTCTATGGGAGCCAAGCCCCTGGACAGCGGCAGCGCTCTCGCCCTGGGCACAGGTGCCGCCGGCCTGGCTCTCAGGGACACCTGTTCCCTCAAGAGCTGGTGCTCCATGAGTTTCCGTTCCCACTGTCCCCCGCCACCGCAGGAAGGCCATGCATCTGCAGAAGGAGCACGGGCTCAGGCACCAGAAGCTGGTGGAAGACGCCAAGAAGAATCACAAGATCGCGGTGAAGTTCCTGAAGGCTTCCCTGGGAAGGTAGCGTCCTCAGACTCCCCCCACCGATACCCTGGAGGAGAAATATAAGAAATACAAGAATCTTTTTTTTGTTTTACTGTCCCCGATTTTATTATTAAATCATTACCCTACTGTCAGAACGTAATAAAGTTGTATTTTTAGTTTCGAGCTGACTTCCTGCTTGTGTTCAGAAAAGGACCTGCGGTGAGTTGCCAGGGGCCTGTCCAGAGAAGCCTGTTTCAGTGTTCCCTAGAAATTGACATTCAACATAACGCTTTCCATGTGTCTTTAATGTGGTCACGTTTAATTATTTCCTTGACGGACGTGACCACCGTGCAGTTCTGTAACCGCAAGTCAATGTGCCCCGGTACTCGTGGTTAAAAAACGTGCCTTCTTCTTCCAGAATCCGCGAGCAGGAGAGGGAGAAGGAGATGGGGTCCCAGGAGCACATGAAGAGGCGCATGGACGCCGTGCTGGCTTTGAAGAACAGTATCAGTGCCAACAGGGTAGGCGACCTGTGTCCACCCTTGCCCTCGGGGCACATCGCACTCCAGGAGGGACAGCTTGACACCCTTGGGGCCCCACACAGTCCTACAGGAGCCCTCCAGGCAGGCGTGTTTCCTTCCAGGTGGGGGTCCACACCTCGACCCCTCAGCCTGCCCTGCCCTGTCATCTGGCTTCCCTGCCCCTTGGGACAGGAGTCCCGCGTCCTCAGACTCGCCACTCAGTCACTTCCTGGGGGTTACAGAGCCTCCCCCCACAGGTCTGTTGCCCCTGGGCCCGTGCTGGCACTAGCCAGCTGCCCCGCCGGGCAGGAAGAAATCAGCGCAGGCCTGTCCTCCTGGGGCCTGGTCCGCGGGAGGAGCCATGGCAGGGCTCCAGGGGGACCGGGGCTCAGCGAGGCCATGTACAGGGGTCCAGGGTCCTGTTGGAGGAAGTGATATCCCCCCGGGGCCCAAGGGTGTGGCAGTTAGGCCTGGAGAGTGGAGAGGGGAACAGCATTTGCAAAGGCTCAGAGGCAAGAGTGAGCAGGCCTCCTGGAGGGGAGCCCAGCATGGCAAGGGGGCAGAGGCGAGGCGCCAGTCCTGCAGCGCTGTGGACGACAGTCAGCTCGGGGGGGCGGGAAGCCCCTGAGGATTTTAAGGACAGGTGGTCGGTGGGTGGGCGGGACCAGGCAAGGGTGGGGCTCTGCAAACCTGTGCTCCGGCATCTCAGGGCTGAGTTAACGTCACCGGCTCAACCGAGGAGCTGCCATGTGTGTGTGCGCACTTGTGTGCACACGCGTGTGCATGTGCCAATGGTATACCCTCACTTTTCTCTATTCCCAAGGAAACACTCCGGAAATTTCAAGCATGGGGCCAGGCCAGGGCAGAGCTGGCTGAGCAGAAGGCCCGGGCCCAGAAGGAGATGATTCTGGCCCAAGGTGGGGACGCTTTCAGACACCTTTTCCATCAACGCCAGCGCCAGGAGCTGGAAGCCCAGAACCGGTGAGTGCGAGGTGGCTTCCTGGGGGAGGTGCCCGCCTGGGCCGAGGGAGGCCTGTCCCTCACAATTAGCCAAGCTGCTTTCCTCCCTGGGCTTCTCCCCAGATGGGGCTCCAGCCCTCCCTCCACACCCTGCTCCCCAGACCCCAACAGGTGAGGCCTCCCGTGGGCCTCAGAGCACAGACCTTTCGACCCCCATCACCTCTAGTGCGGCCCCTGGCCTGGCTTCCTGGTTTCTCAGGAGCTGCCCCAAGCCCCCGACGCAGCTCACTCTCTGTGTCTCCGGGCTCTCCGGGCCCCTCCGTAGGGGGCCGTGGGGGGTCTGGGCTCACCCTTCACGCCCTCATGGGCTTCGCTTTCCGATTTCCTCCAAAGGGCACTCGGTGCTGCCTTCTCAGTATGCCCTGCACCCTCGTCATTCACCCTGAGAACCCCCCTCAGCCCTGCAAGGTCCCAGTACACAGCTCTCCAGGCCACACTCTGCCCTGCCTCCCGCCCCCACACCCCCCACAGGCGTGGGCTTCCTGAGATCCAGAGGTCCGCGTTCTGGTCCTGCCCACCTCCTGAAGGGCACATCCCTTCTCCCTGCCCCCCCCCACCCCCTTCACAGGCACGATTGGTGCGTACCCAGGTGTGGCCTCCTGGTCCTCTCCCTGGGGACGGCATCTCCTGCCAGGGAGTCACAGTGCTCTGGCTGTCACCACAGGAGCTGTGCCATCAGTCGTCCCGTTAGGGGCTCCCGGGGGTGGCTCCACCCGTGCCTTCGTCTGGCGCAGGCCGGGCACGTAGGAAGAGCCAGGGACAGAGTTGGAATGAGTGAAGGAATAAATGAGTGAAGGAATGAATGAGCACGTGAGTGAATGGCCTCGAGCCCTAGTGAGGCCGTGGTCTGTGCCTCGCTGGAGTGCCCGGCTGCCAGCCTGGAAACCTGGAGTAAAAGGCACGTCCTGTGGGGTCAGGTTTGCTGTGGGGCCCCGGGCGGGGCAGGAATTTCAAGGCCCGGGTCTCCGGCCTGGCAGCCTTCCTGGGCCTCATCTGTCTGCTCCCTTGGGAGCCAGGGGGCCCGGCCAGAATCAGCTCCCGGCAGCCCTGAGCCCAGCGGGGCGGCACCTCCTGGGGGAGGGGCCCCAAAGGCAGCTCGCAACTCACCTTCCCTGGTTCCACATGGCGTTTTCCCACAGCGCCTTCGAGGAGCAGCAGAGGCTCAGAAAGCAGGAGATCGTAGGTCGGATTCTGAAAGAAGAGGCTGCGGGAGAAACCAGGAGGAAGAGGCAGTCTTCTCCCACCAAAGCCACGGGCCGGCTGACCCTGAGAGATGAGACATGGGGCTACATCTCAGACGTCTGCGAGGACAGGGGCACGGTGGCCCTTCCCCGCAACCTGCCGGTGAGCCAGAGGCCCCTGTCTGGTCACAAGTCCCCGGGGACGTGGTTGGGCCTCGAGACATTGTGTGACCATCTCCGGCTAAGATCCCTCAGCCGAAACCGTGTGGCCTGCACCAGGCTGTCTTCCGGCCTCCCTGCTCCCCGGGGGCCCCACGGGGGGGACGCGTTCGAGCTTCCCCACGGCTCCTCTCTGCGGCACGCAAGATGGCGGGCCACACGGCGTCCACCTGGGAGCTGTCCTTTCCCAGGTGACGGCGCAGGTACAAGGGGCCGAGACCCAGGTCTCTGGTGGCTCATCCGCCACAGGATCCACCTCTGCGGACCCCACTGCAGGTGCGGAAGCCCGTAGCGTCCTCTGCAACAAGAGTGGCTCAGGCCGCCTTACCTGTCCCTAGACAAAAAGACAGGCAGTGACCACAGGCCAGTCCCGGGCCACGGGGCACCAAATGCTCTCAACACCCCACAGAGACCAGCCGCTTCCACGTCCTGTACTCCCTCGCCGCTCATGCGTCATCCTCCTGAGGGCCGGCTCCAGGCCAGCACCCCCACCCCACCCCCGGGGCTGGTGACCCATACCTGTCCCCAGGAGTCAGGGGCAGGGACATCAGGACCCCTCCTGAGCCCAGTTCAGCACTCCCACTTCTGCCCCCTGCACCTCGAAACCCGAAGTTGCGGATCGCCGGCTCCCCTGGGCCTCTGCGGACTCTTCACTCTGTTCCCAGGCGTTTTCGGTCTCTGCCCGGTCCCTGCCCGCCACTGTGGAGTCTGCCCCTCCGGGCCGTCACCCCTGCCACCTCCTCCCTGGCCCGCCCCAGCCGCCTGCCCTGCCGTCCACACTAGGTGTCCTGTGTTTCTCCGTGTCAGCACCCAGTCTGCTTCCCCGGGAGCTTTCCACACATTGCAGCCACATCCCCCTCCGTCTACGGCTGATGCTCCCTAGAGGGAGGCCCCACGCCGTCCCCTCTGAAGCCCAGTCCCAGAACCGGTGTCCTCCGGAGGGAGGGCTTTTCCAGGGCGTGGTTTATATAAGCAAAAATTAGAAATAACACGAAACTGAGGATGGTGAAGAAGATTGTAGTAGGCCCATAAATCCATGTTCTGTGGACTCTTTTGTGGGTATTGGAGAAAAATACGTAACGATGTGTCTGAAGTTACTTATATTTGAAATGGGAAAGGGTTACGAAACAGACCGTGTTCTAGTCTCCGGGTAAAGAGGAAAAGAACCCGTAGAAGAGCCAGGTTGTCCGTGGCCATGTGCCCGAGGGTCTTGTGATGGCGGCTCTGTTCTTCTCTCGCTGATCTGTAGGGTCCCTTGTCTTCTGTGATTAGCTCTGAATTTCTCTCCCCAACAGCAGGACAGCGAAGCGGTCTCACCCCCCAGAGCCTCTCAGTTACTGGAAGCCAACTCCTATGAGTCCGTCCAGGGGGACTCGGGGAGCATCACCCGGGAACATGACACGCTGGCCGAGCCGGAGATCCCCAGGCTCTGGAAGGAAGACTATAAGCCGAACCAGGTAAGCGCTTCCCGCCCTCAATTCCGAGAAGTTGGATAGCAGCCCCGACGCCGGCTGACCTGGAGTCAAGGCCGCAGACAGAGCCCCTTCCCCACTCCTGTCCCTCAGGGAGGCACCTTTATTTGTGCTGCCTGAGAAAACATGGCTCCGGCTAAACATTTCAAACCTTTCTCTCGGCCTAATTGAAAAATCTAGAAACCCCCCGCCTCTGCCGTCACTTCCCACAAATCCAACGGGATCCTGGACGTGCCTGCTCGTCCCTCTTTCCTTTTCCTCTGAAGTGAGGACCGCCAGCCTCGCCCAGGCCAGGGCTCTCTATGTGGCCTGCCGGGCGGTCGCGCTCCCCCTGCCCCGGCCGCTCCGGGCCCTGACGCTGTGCCACTAAACTTCTGCGGCCCCCGGCTGCCCTAGGCCACCTGGAGCGGATCGCCTCGCCGGGCCTGGGCTTGCCCTCGAGCGCGACGCTGTTTCTGTGGAAACCCAGGTGCCCAAAGAGGAGGTGGACAGGAAGCCCGTGGGCGGGACAAAGATGGACAAGGACATCCTGGCGCGCACCATGGAGCAGCTGCGCAGCAGGGTGACCCACAGGCAGGTGGCGTCCGGGCACGAGTTCAAAGGTCGCCCCTTCAATAGCAAACCCAAGCTCGTCCACTTCAAGGTGAGGAGGGGCTACTCGCCTGGCCCGGTGCTGAGAGTGTTGAGAGGGGTCAGACGCCAGCCCCAGAAGGGGACCTGGCCCCGGGGGACAGCCTCCCTGAAAGGGACAGTGGGAGGTCGGTCCTCGCACGTAGTCACAGCCGCCAGACTCTGCAGGGGAGGAGGCTGGCGGGCTCCTGGGATGCCACACGGGCCCTAGTCCTTCAGACGGAGTGGGGTGCCGGCCCCAGAGCCCACACCGTCCGAGGTCCCCAGGAAGCCATTTCCTGCCCCCGCCGTCCCTACTCTCCATGCGTCCCCAGGGGAGCGCTTCCTGAGTCAGGAAACCTTGGGACTTGTTCCTGGCCTCCTATCAGGACGCTCCTCCGCTCGTCACCGAGACCTTCCTCGTGTGGTCACACGCCGGCCGTCGGGGGGCACACGAGGAGAGGCCGCCAGGCGCTCACCCGGCGCCTTCCCCCCGACGGCTTCGAAGGACTCCTCTGACTTTTCCAGGACTTCGACGTCGGCAAAGTGTACAAGAAGAAGATCACGCTGATAAACGCCACCTACACCATCAACCACTGCAAGCTGGTGGGCGTGGAGGAGCACCTCAGGGACTTCGTCCACGTCGAGTGAGAGCCGGCGGGGCGCGGGTGCGGGTGCGCTGTCCTCGGCCTTCACGCCCGCCTGGTGCGAGCTCCGGCGGCCGCTCCGTTGTCTTGCGCTGACGCGGCCCGAGGCCAGCCCAGGTGTGCGTGATGACTCTCCTTCCGGGTCAGTGTGTCGGTGCCCGCCCCTCTGGGTGAGACGTCCCCGGCGGTTGTTGGGGCTTCTCTGGGTGAAGGTCCGAGCCGTCCTGCTTCACGACTGTCCCCTCCCACTGGGTGCGTGTCCCCTGTGTAGCCACGTTTCTGTTTTCCTCCTTTGAAGCCCCGCTGGTGCTTGAGAGGCGGCCCGTCGACCGTTTTCTTCCCGGCCCCTTCAATGCCTGCTCATGTCCCGCTTTAAGCTTTCCTCATTTTTCTCACGTTCTTCCGCGTCTCGCTGTGTCTGCTGTAGTGCCTCTCTTTTCTCCTGCTCCGTAGCATTTTGCCTTTGGTTTTAAGAAGGTTTCTTCTGGTTCTGCCAGCTTTTTATAGACGGGTCTGCGGGCCCGAGATGGCCCAGGATGGCTCCCCACCGCCCGTCCCCACGGCCTCTCCCTGTGATCCGCACTCGCTGACCGTGGGACACACTGTTCTCCTCCGGGGGCTGCTTGTGGCTCAGACGTGGGATCTCTGTTCCCCCTTCTCTCTTTCCGCCAACTTATCTGCAAAGGCGCGTGTGGGCAGAGCGTGGCCAGAAATTCCTGTGTATCACTAACTGATTCTGTCCTGCATTCGTGCCGGAGGCACAGGATCTACTTGTGGTCTGCTAGTTTTTCATGTTGATCTGCGGGTCTCTGTGGGACTTGGGGCCCAGACTCGCGGTATCGGCCCCCCCGGCGTCCTGGAGCACTCCTCCCCAGGACCGGGCTGGGGTCTGATTGGCGGCTGTGTGGGGGGGGGGGGGGGGGGGGGGG